TCTCATTTCCAGCCAGCCTCATTAAAGACGTGTAAACACATTTTGAATGGTGGTGTTTTTTTTTTGTCTTGATTTATTTTTTTTATTTATTTATTTTGGCCCGTCCGTCGCCTCAGCAGTTTCATTCCTGGACGCGGCGCAATTGAAGAGTGGTGCTCGCAAATACAGTGACCGTGGGGTGCTTTAATCTGCGCAGACCAGGGATAACACCTCCTTTCTCCATCCACACCTTCTTTCTAACCTTGCAGAAACAGGCGTGGGGCGGTTGTAGGGCGCTTGTTTTGAATGTTTCTCGAGCTGTTCGCGATGTAAACTACACATTCGCAAGGCCCTTTTCTGAGTCGAAGTCTTCTCCGATACATAGAATCGCCAGGGGCGAATGTAAAGAGGACAGACAGTTTATCATCTGAACTGGGCCTCCAAGATGTAATCAATTCATCAGTAAACAAATACAGTTATTTTTTTTTTACTTTATTCAGATAGACCTATAATTGAAATGACATTTTTGATTATTTGAATTGATTTTGAACAGATTTCGGGAGTGGAAAGAACAGTTCAGGTGGGTAGGCGGCAAAGGAACAAGTAATAGGTTTATTCCAAGCTGGGGGAAAAAAGAAGAAAGAAAACACAACGTTTCGGCTGTGGAGCCTTCTTCGGGTGTGAAAAAGACAAGGCAGTAAGCAAAGTGCCCATCTTCTAATTCAGCAGTGCGAAACATCACTGTGAAAATGATTCTCACAAAGTTATGAATAGAAGAAAATATCGAAAACACTGTGGCAGCCCAAACTCTTTCTCTGGGGATTTGAACTGTTTTTACTGAGAAACAAAAAAAACATGTTAATAACAACAGGCAATCAATCATTACTGCCGATGCTGTCGAAGTAGCAGTTAAAACTTCATTTCCCATAATGCAAAACCACGAAAGCATCGGTCGCCTTGGTAACACGGCGGAAGTGAACCCATTTTTTTAACCTACAGGCGCGTATTGGAGGCTGAGACGGCGGCAGTACAGAAGTACGTTAAGGTAAGGTGGGTGTTTAACCGTTTACGAGGCAAGCCGACTCAATCAAATAAGGCTAATTATTTTAATAATAATGAATAAGCATGAATTATTCAGTTATAAATTGCACCTTTCCTGTAGTGTTTTACTGTGTATTTGAATGAGGTCGTTGGATAAATAAGTTTGTGTTGCGTGACAATGTAATTGATTCCCTTCTCTACAGTATATATTTACTCTTAATTAGTTGGTGTCTAAAGTGCTAAATTCGCAAAAGTAACGGTCCCGTGATTGCTAAGCGTGTGGAGACGGGGGTTAACGTTTCATTTCCTCCGTCAAAAGCGCATTTCGGCTGTCATGGGAAAGACGGGACTCGCGAAATAATAGCGCTTCCTTCGGGTAAAAAACAAATAAATCAGGAGTGATTGAAAGCGCTTCTGAAAAAGGGCACCTCTGACTCTTGTGCCCTGGTCGTCTGCCGCAGCCCCAGGACGCGTCCGCCCGGACCTGCGCTGCGTGTTGACGGATGTCGTTCGTCCGAGGCAGCCGGTCCTGCCCGCCGGCCGGCCGGCCAGGGAGGAAGGCGACGCGGGTCAGAAAGAAGAAAGCGGCAGGCCAGCAGGACTGGGTGGTGAGTCTCGCCCCTGCCTTCCCCGGACAGCTGCAGTCCGCAGGCGTCTCTCCGGCACCGCACCGGCAGCTGCAGGGCAGCTCTTCCTCCCCTGCCGGCGTCCCCCTGCGGATGGCAGGCGTCGGGGTTTTTCCGTGGTTGTGTGCAGGGGAGGTGCACTTGTTATAGCACATTGAATCGAGTGATTTCTATTGGAGAAGTCATGTGAGCTCCATGGGATAGCTGCTAGTGAGACACGCTGGACCCGTGGTGGCATTTTACTCCCAGCTGGTCAGCAGTCTTTCAGCGCTTTTCAGTGTTTGTGGCCTCCATGCTGTGGACAGTGTGGACGATTTCGGCTGCGGTCAGCTGGGTTTCCAACCCCTGTACACCTCCGGGTGTTGAGGGACTGATGCCTGATGCTCGGCAGCCGGTTGGCTCGATGTTTTCCTCTTGAATAATGAAGCGGCGATCAAAATATCGTCGGGCACTGCGTTTGTCCTGCCTTGTTTGCAGATTGATCGATTCATTCAGTATTTTTTTTCCCGTTTAGAGCACCATTCAGGATCTCAG